TGTTGGTGAGACAACAGAAGGAAAGAAAAAATGAAGAAAGCGGGGAGAGAGAAAAAGGGAGAGTGGAAGACAGAGAAGGCAGAGAAGGAAAAGGGAGATTCAAAGACTAAAGATAAAAAATGCAGAGAATTTATTTAACTTCTTTGGTCATTATTTTTATTCTTTAACTAGCTTGTTCTGCAAGCCTTCATCCTGACCAAAAGTTAATATAACTGCGTTCAAAGGGTAAAAAATGAGGATAAGAGGATTAAGTTTCTTGTGTTCACATAAGGAACAATTTTTCTCTTTTTCCAACTCCCTCTAACTTGTCTACTTCAGCCCTGCTGTTTTTTACTTTTAGTATAAACACTTTAGTGAAAAGCAAAAAAGTATTGACCTGAAAGATTGTTGTGGATCATTTTGGAATTTTAGTAATTCTGAATGTTTTTCTCATTAGTAATAACAAGTTATACTGTAGATGTTAAGATTATTATACTTTTGTCACATGTGTAGAAATTTCAGAACACCAGAGAGAGAGCGAGAGAGAGAGAGGGAGAGAGGGAGAGAGAGAGAAATCTGTTGAAAATAGAAGTAATAAGAGACAATTTTTCACCAGAAACAATAAAGACCAGGAAAAGAAAGTTGAATAAGACTGTGAAAGTTATAAGGGTGAAAAATAAAACTCTCAATCTAGAACTCACTGCCAAGGTAGATCGTGGCCCAGATTAATTATAATATAAAGATAACTTCAGATAAATATTAAGAATGTTATTTATCAGATATCACTTAAAGGAACTACTAAAAGACAAATTTCAACAAAAATTAAAAGAGGGGAGGAATAAAACAAGCAACAGTAGTCAAGAAAACTGCTTATTTGTGGGAAAATGGATGCATTTCGAGATCATAATGTTAGTGCAATAAATCAAACACCCAAGCTTAAAAATTGCATGGTTTCTTTTATGTGAGAAACCCAAAATATAAAGAAACTAAAGAACAACTGATAGATAACTGGAAAAGAGGAGGTGGATCTTTTGCAAAAGAGAAGGAGATCAAGAGATGGAGAGAGGAAGGAATGAAAAATGAATTAAGATGTGTTACGTAAATGTACCAACTCCACACTATGAATATAATCATTATGTATCGTAAACATGTACTGATAAAAATAAATTAACATAGATGAAATGGACAACTGATGGATGTGGCTAAATCTAAAATGCTCTGAGTGCAAAAAGGAGTGAAAATGTAAGGAAAATATAAAACTCAAAAAAAATGACACAAGATCCCAAAGAGGCCTCAAAACACATTTTGATTGTCTAAGAAAGTGGCAGAGCTACTGATTAATCTTGGAGTGTTTTTTTTTTTAAGTCAAGTATATATACTTAAAGTTTACAAGTAATTTTTTAAAGAACAAAAGTGTAACATAATTTATAACCAACAAAAGAGTGAAATGGCATTAAAATAAATTAAATAATCTAATGTAGCAAGAAAAGAACAGGAAAACTGTCTGAATTTACTTATAATTTAATGGTGTATACTTGAAATACTCTTTAATGTTACAAGGCTGGGATGTTCTTTACACTGTCTCTAATATTACATAGGAGGTATTAACCAAAGCAATAAGACAAGAAAAAAATTAAAGGCATAACAATTAGAGATGAAAAAATAAATCTCATATTATTTGTAAGCAATGTAATTGAAAATTTTTAAGACATATACAAACCTACTTAACACTAAAAATAGAGTTCTTAGAAGTTTCTTCAAAAAACCTGATACACAGATTGTTGATGTGATTCTTATAAAGCAGCAACAAAAACTGGAAGATATAATTAAATCCTGCAATTCGTCTACTAAGTGTCAATTTAAGGGAGCTTCCTCATGCATGTACATAAAGGCAGAAATAAGGATATTTTCAATAAAAATTATGAGTTAAAAATCATTAAGCAAATAAAGAAATGAATCAAACTGTCCTTTGCAAGGTATACTTTCACAATAGCATAAAATACAATGATTAAAATAAAAGATCTAGCCGGGCATGGTGGCGCATTCTTGTAATCCCAGCACTCGGGAGGCTGAGGCAGGAGGATCATTGTGAGTTTGAGATCCTCCTGGTCTACAAAGTGAGCTCAAGGCCAGCCTTGAGAACTTGAACTGCATAGTGAGACCTTTTCTCAAAAAACACCAAAAAAAAAAAAAAAAAAAGACTACCAACCTGGATACCTCAGTAACCTAATGTTAAATTAAAAGACAAGTTATAAAGGTGTCACTGTGCGTTGGAGATTTAGCTCAGCGGCACAGAGCCTACCTGGCAAGCACAAGGTCATGAGTTCAATTCCCGGTACCAGAGAAAAACCACAAAAAAGGATGTCACTTGTGTAAAATTTCCCTAAAGCATTGTTTATGAATATATGCATATATAAAAAATACAAAAACATGGATGGAATAATGTAGGGTAGAAAAGTCTCTAACTTCACAATATAGTTATTTTATATACATAGTTATAAAATTAATATATATATATTCCAGAATCATAGGATTCTGCTATATCTTCACATTTTATTTCCTTGGAAAGAATATTTCAAGTAAATATAGCAAGAATTTAGGCAGTTAAAGTGGATGCAGGGATTTTTGTGTTATTATTTCCTGTGCTCAGATTCTTTTGTAATTAATCAAAAGTAAAAAGATTCAGAGATCAACCGACATTTCAACCTAGCTATGTTGAGACAAATTTTCTGAGACCTCTTTTATAGTGCTTGGAACAATGTAGGTTAATTACATGTATTTGAAGAATGTAATACATGAGAACTGTAAATGCTACTTTGAGATTTACTTCCTCTGCTCTCACTTTTTCTACCGCGTTCTGCTTCATTTTCTCTTTTTCTTTCTCTTGCCTGTTTCTAAGGGAAGTCACTGACACATCTTAAACTTTCATACAAAGAACAATGCTACAGCAAGAAAAAGAGTAAACCGTATTTCCTTTCCCAGATTTTTAGACTTATATTTGTGTTTGTGTCAAGGTAAGCTACAGAAGCGACCGATGAATTTATCTCTCTAGGTGCTGCTCTACCAGTCAAGCTCATCATTCACCCATTAGAGCACTGAAAACCTCCAGAGACCACAGCTTCTAGCAGTAAATGAATTCTCTTACTTTGAGATTTGGTTTCTGATTGATTTTTTGGAAACATTTAAAATAAATGTGCTGCTGGGAGGATAAGAATGATGACAAGTGACTTATTCCCCAATTTCCCCCAGCGTATTTGAGAGCTTTATTTTTCTTATGACAAAAGAGAGGAAATACTTAAAAGGGTAGTTTTATACCTTCTACCCTTTCTGCATGAATAGCATCAAAAAGGACTTTCTAACATCACAATTTCAACAAGAACAATAATAACTAGAATCAACAGTACATGCAATAGTAGTTACTGTGTGATTGGAGCTGTCTTTGACATTGCTCAGCAAGTTAAAAGCAGACTATAAATAATACGGTCTATTGCTGGAAAATGAGTTCTTTGTTTACCCTTTCATTGGTTTAGCTTAGGTCAAATATATATGGATCTTGATTTATATTAACATCTCTGTTCCAATCTTCTCTCCTGTCTTTTCCTGATTCTGCAATACAAACAAACTGGTTCACAAATATCACCAGAGAATAAATGTTCAAGTACAGTATTGTTAAACTGCCAAGTGATGTTCATAAAGTGAAACTCAGGAGTCAGCCAAAGATACATATATTTGGCCCAAAATCAGAATGCTCAAAATATATATAGTAATTTCAAGGAGAGATAACTTTAAATTTAAAAAAAAAATCAGAACAATTTGTAGTTGTGGATTAAAAAAACACATGTAATGAAAATACATTTTCGCTAATGTAAGTAGTAGGTTAGCCCATGTGTCTATTTTCACACAGATCATAGAACAGATCCACATCCATGTTCTTCCCACACTCAATAAAAAAAATACCATAACAGAGAATGAGCTACAGCTGATCTCAGGGTGTAGAGACTCTCCAGGCAGTTACTAGACATGAAGCTCAGATACTTTACACTGTCCCTTTTTTTTAAGTACCGGAGTCTGAATCCAGGCCTTTCACAATGAGCTACATTATTCTCAGCCCATTTTTTATTTTTTTATTTTGAGACAGGGTCTCACTAAATTTCTAAATTACCCAGATTGGGCTTGAACTTTCCAGCCCCCTGTCTCAGCCTCCAAAAGTGTTGGAATTACGGGAGTGTACCCCCACACTGTCATATTTTAAAGGTGATCTGCGGGATTAAGAAAAAGAAATCCCTTTGATGTTTCTCACCTTCTGAAGACAAAACCAATAACATCTTCAGTGAATCAGCGTCTTATTCTGAGATCATCTCAAGAAAAGCTTTCTAAAAATCATATGATTTCAAATTTCATAGAATTTCCATGTCTTAAGTTCCTTTATAACAAACACTACAGAGTGGGTTGTACAGTGAGAAGAGTGCAGGAAATTTAGCTAAAAAGGTGTTGGGGAAATTGTTCACTGACACACACTTAGGGCAACTCAACAAAATAATTCATGATCAGAAGAAATCATGCAAGGTTCCATTACTTCACTACACAAAAATGCCTAGTGGAAATGCTCCATTCAAAGATTTTATTTTAATTTAGGCTCCAATGCAAAATGTCACAAAGTACTGTAATGGATCAGTAAAATGGCTGTCTTATTGAATTTCTGAAAGAAAATACTGATTTTTTTAAAAAGAATTTAATTAACGTAATGCATTTTCTTTCACAGTTAATATATTCACATCACCACTGAAAATAAATAAAACATAATAAAAATTATTCTGTACCCCAAAGATATGGTTTAAAAACAATCTAAGTTTTTGGCTTCCTATTTAAGGATCATCTGGCATAGCTCATTATGTACTAATATTTATGCAATCAAAATTTATCAATCATGATTACATAATTTTATAAAATAATTGAAATTCTTACATGAACTCTACTACTATTATTCCAACTTGGTCACAAGAGTTAAAAAATACACATACCTCAACAAATATAAAACATGGGATGATGGAATAACTTCGCCGAGTGTTGTTTCCTACAGCCATTTCTCAGATCATGTAACAAGACTACGCCGTCTGAAACTCTCCAGGCTGAAAAGGAAATAGAAATAAGTTGCACGGCGTGATGGCCATATGTTGAAAAGTCCCTTAGGTACATACATAAAAATATCAGCTACCCTCTAGATAAACAGGCTGTGCATAAACAATGCAAACTAATGATCTATGACACAGTCAAGTTGGACTTACAGTCATTGCAGTGAAAATCAAACAATATATATAGCTATGAATAGTATTAGTCCCGAAATCACCAGTAGGGAGGTCCTTTGGGCGCAGAGGTATAAGAAATAGAATTCTAATTTCCTAGAACTGCATAGTGTCTTAACCCAGTGGATGGGTCTCAGGCCATGAAACAGTGTCTGGTATAAAATATTTGTTACTATTCATTCTGTATGGAACTCCCCTAACTTGTGCCTTAACCTCCCGGTTTGTAACCTTGTTTGCCCATGCTTGTTTCCTCGTGCCCTTGCCTGTCCCTCTGGGACCCACATTCAATACAAGTACAGGTTGACTTCCTTCCCTCAGTGTTATTTGGCCTTGCTCCCTTCACTGTGCAGCCATGAACCACTTTGGATTAGTACACCACGGTCTGTCTCTCTGGATGGCCCCTACCCCCTGTGTATGACTCAAACATGAATAAAAGCAAAGTACCATCTCTGAACTTATAAGAATGGATTGGTTGGGCAAAAGCAGGTTACTGTTAACTATTTTATTAGAACATTCCTGTCTTGCTTTGAATTGAAATATGCCTGCAAGAGGAGATAAGTTAATTTTTGTTCTTTTTAGTAATAGCAATGAAAACTTCAGAGTTTTATAAAGCTTGGAAGATAAAAAGAATTTTTCCTCAATAACTTTTAAGCTGTTTTGAAAGCTATGATGTAAATGGTTCATGGAGCTGCTCTACACAGTTACTCACTGTTTTTCACTTGTTCAGTTTTTGAGTCATTCCTACCAATAGTTCTTGTGAGCTGTGACAAGAAGTGTGACACATGGATTACCAATCTACTTGAATGCCAGCTGCTGTTTTAAAAGGTGATGAACTAATGTTTATGTCTTTGATTTATTTCTCTTAATTATTAAGTTGCTCTTACCATTTCCTACAATGAAACTTTAAACCATATTTTTTCCTCTTTTTTCACTCTACTTCGCTTTGTAGTACAGATTAATGGGTTTCATTTTTGCAGATTGATATATGAATATAACATATTTTGCTCAATTAAGATATTTTCTGATCAAATTTAGTATTGTATTATGTGCTTTATAAGACCCTACCAATCACAATATTTAAGGTATTTAAGTTCTAAGCAACTTATTTTTTCAATTCAAATTGGCTACTCTCCATTATAAAATAATATACGGAATAAATTATTACCCTTCTATTTTGGCATCTAAGAACTAATATTTTTCTACATTAAGAAAGAAATCTAACATATATATGTGCTTTTACACATTGAGTTGGTTTGAAAATTATGTACTGTTTTTATTTTTCTCTTAAACCAAATATCTTCAGAATGAACTGATCAATATATACAGTTCAGATGTCTTGTTAGCAACAGCTAAAGACAGTACAATAAATATGAAAAGAAAAATTTTAGAAAAAGTTTGGAAGACATTAAACATCTAGTATTTTATAAGACTTTTCCAAAAATAAGGGTCAGCAATAAAGTAATGAAGACAAGCTCCGCCATATCATATATAAACTAGCTCTGTGGGAGGCAGGATTGAAGTATATTTTCTGTATCATATAATTCACCTATTTCAAATATATAATTCAATGATCTTATAGTAAACTTACCAAGCTGTTCAAGTATTCCTAAAATGGCTTAGAACTGTTTTTTCATCCTCCAAAGCACTATCATTCCTATTCACCTTTAGGCCCCACTATCACCTCCTTCATTACCTTGTAAGCCCACATAACTATTAATGTATTTTCTGGCTATACAGAGTTGCCTTTTCTGGATATTTCAAATAAATAGGCTCATGCAATATGTGGTCTTCTGAATCTGCATTCTTTCATTTAGTGTAATATTTATGAGGTTCTTACATGGAGCAGCACATATCAGTAATTTTTCTGTTATTATTGCTAATTATTGCCATTTTATACCTTCCAGGGGAAAATTTCTGTTTAAATGTTTTGTGATTAAAAGTAATTTTTAAAAAAACATTAGAAATGATACAGAACTTCACTCAACAAGATGGTAGGAATTCAACAATGGTTCTTATATCGCATATCATTGTCTTCAGATTAGTTGTTCAAATTACCAGATATAAGCATGCAAAATTGGTCAAGATCAATAGACACCAGCAGTACAATTATCCCAGCTATCCTTTTATATACATATATATTTTTCCCTTCCTTCTTCCTTTTCTCCTTTCCCTCATCCCAGTTGTCCCTTCCCTTGGAGCAATTTCTTTCCCTTT